ATCTGCTTGGCAACTTAAGCAGGTGGTCATGAGTATCTGGTTTGGCATTTCATTAAAAAGAAAATGCATATCCAATTCTCCTTCCTGATACTCAAAGCTATTCGTCTTCCTTAACTACGAACTCCTAGAACATCTACATTGCTTTATAACAACAAAAATTGTCTGTCAGCGTGAAAATTTCTCAAGCACAGGGACAGAAATTTTGCAAGAACTTTGAAAATGAAGAAAAGAGGGTTGTGAAGGTAGACATGGAACCATGACATATTCACAGCTGATAAATATACGATGTGTTGCAGGCCTCCTTCAACAAACTATGCACATAATTGAAGTACAGAAGCAGAGATATAAATTAAAAAACCAGCAATCTGTAAGCTGCTCAAGCTATTTACAAAAAATTACTGTTGGAAAGAGAAAGAGAAAGAGAAAGAGAAAGAGAAAGAGAAAGAGAAAGAGAAAGAGAAAGAGAAAGAGAAAGAAATGTTTCTTTCATTTGCAAGTACTCAAGAGACTTCCTGTGCTATGACAATTTAGGATTTATAAGCATGTAGACAGAAAGAACTTGCTCTTGGCCTCAAGTGGATCTTTTTTTGGCCTTAAGGTATTTTATTGAACCTCATATTGTTTCCTCATAGATGATATTCCTCTCTAGTTTGTTAAGCTTCGCCCTGAAATATGCTCTATTAGAACTGAACTGCAGGTAGTGTATATGCGGGTGTTCTTTGATCACTTTCAAAATTTGCCCCTATTTCTTTTTCCTTAGGGTGCACTTCCCCTAGAAACCCAAGTGTTGCATCTTGCAAACGCTTGTTTTGTCAGGCGTGAGAGATCACTTATCTCCTTTGTATTCCTGATGGCTAGTAAAGCTCTATATTTTGGTGAAGATATTTCCAGCAAATTTGTCAGGAAAATCATTTGCAGATTTGCACGCCAATATTAAGCTTTATTCATGTAGATTTCTCAGTCCATAAATTGTTTGAATGGCTGTCCCAGAACAAAGGCGGTGTCTTTAATATTGAGGCCTTTGATCTCTTCTGCGTACTAATTATCAGTTTTGGCTTTCATTGCGCTGTTCCTTTTGTTCCACTGTTGGATGTTTTCCAGTTTTTTCATTTTAATTCTTTTCCCTGGTATTTCATATTAATTTTTAGAAATTATTTTTATGTGACTACGTATTACATTATTGTCATGCTAACTTGTACTCTTACATTATGCCTCAATATGATATTGCAAAATCACCACCAGAAACCCCTTTCCATCATTGTTATCCTGTTAGGCACAATAAATTTTTAATGGCTCTTGAAGATACAGTCTTTTCTGCCAAAAAGTTATTTCACAACTGCTTTCTTTCCATTTAGAGGTAGACTAGTTGAATGATGGGCATCCTGTTGGCGATTAATACACAAAGAGTGACCACTACCTTTCCATAAACCTTCTTCCCTAGAACAAGGTGAAAATAAACCAGAAAGCTTTCTTGTGGTTAGCCAGTTTCTTACTCCCCATTCTTTTTGCTATGGAATGATTTACACTACAGATTCACATTTAAAAATCTCTAGATTATTTCCATAATGTGGAAGAATTGCTATAGGTGGAAAGTTTCTGACCCTGTTACCTGTAGCATTTGTGCTGCTTTTACCCAAAGCAGTGAAATTTGAATTTTCACAATGGTTAAATGTTGGCTAAGGAGGGGAGAGCACAGAGAAGGGATGTCTTTCATGACAACCTTGTACCAAACAGAGAAGGTCTTATTGGCGAGGATTAAAAGAAGTCATTCCTATGAAGAGACAAATACTTGAATCTAGTGACCACAGATGTTTGGGAAATAATCTGAAAATGTAAATCTTTGAAAGGCATGTTCATTCGATAACAGCACTTCAGTCCCTGCACCTGGAAGCATTCTCAAGAGTAAAAGGGAAAGCAACCAGAAATAATTGGCATGTCTTTTCTTCTCAACACAGGTCTGGTCTCCCAGACTTTGACTATCTACAGTTCAAGTAAGGCTCTGAGGAGAGGAGATGAAGAGACGGAACTCCAAGTGGGCAATAGGAAGACAGGGAGCAGAGAGGCTTCCTGCTTGCCTTTAAAGAAAGGTACAAATTTGAGCGGAAGCACCTCCGTCCTTATTTCAGGGTAGGCTTCTGCTGCTGTCATACCAACTCCTGCTCAGAGCCCTGGCCCTATGTTAGCACTGCACGGCATTGCACTTATATGCGGCTACTGACACTTTCCAAGCAAAGCCTCAAGACTCACCTGAAGCCCTCTTTTCCTTACAGGCAGATCACAATCTTTGGCTTTTCTCTTGCAGTTGAACTCCCTCGGAGGAGGGTCATCTTGAACAACATTTTGTCATTGTTTCCTGCCTAGCTGCAAACCTGTCACCTACCGTGTTGACAGCACACTGGCCTCATTAAACACATTCCAAGATTGATTTTCTTTACAATTTCTGTGCTAGGTGTTGCTTTAGTCCTGTAGGTATCATGTTAAAACAGATCAATTCCACCATACTGCGTAGGGTAAAATAACTAGGAAATAGAAAGCCCCTCTTCCATCAGTATAAGCACTTTGGTCATGTGTGTTGGCCCTTTCCCCTTAATGTGCTGATAGGACTTTAATAGCTGAGGTAGCATTTCTTCAACATAACTAAGGCAGTCTTAGTTTCTTTCTGCATTTCTGTTTCCTGTTGTCTCTTCAAGCTGGGCCTCCTGTCAACCAGCAAACTCCTCTCTCTCACTCTCTCTGTGTCTCCCTGGAGTTATATTTGAGTCTCCTTTTGAAATCTGCTCTCAGAGGCTTTGTACTAAAGGGAAAAGGTGGGAATGTTTTGGAAATCCTTTTAGTTCAGTAAATTTAGCTTTACAGGTCAAAAGCAGGTTTACGTGTTTGGAGGCATACTAGCTATTCCAGTTGTACCCCAGTGTGATGGTCTGCCATAAATTTAAAGGAAGACTTTTCAGCTATGGTAACTTGAATGAGCGATCGTGAATCTAAAACGCTCCTTTTCAGCCCTTCAGGAGATAACGAAAGAAACAAACAGAAAACCAAACTGTCCTTTTTATATCTTTTGTATTCTTTTTCTTATAGCTTCACTTTGTTTCCTATGTGCTGATTTTCTTGATTCCAGGTTCTGTATTTAAAGTGTTAATTTGTGATTTACAAGGGTTCTTTTAATGATTTAATTCCAAACAGTAACAATCCAATCCCACAACTGTTTGTCAATTATGACATCCAAACTTGAATTTGAAGACAGGTCCATACCTCTGTGTGTTCATACCTGTATGTATTACATATCATACATCTGCTGAAACTGGGGTTCTGTTACTGACTACTAGAGAATATGAATGAGGTGTAACCAAAGCACCTACAGTCCTTTACACCTCAGCAGTTTTCCCCTGAGTAGGACTGTCATAATAATTGTTACCCTACACCTTTTTTTTTCCTGTAAAAAAAGGTCAGTTACTAACTGCGTATGCCTGAGAAAATTTGGAAAGGAACAATAATACGAACAAGACATTACTTTTCTCTTCACAAGCCTTACCTCACGCAGCCAGCTGAAAACACTAAGAGTGTGTTGGGTAATTGGCTTTCCTGCATCCCGTGTTTTTAATTGCCTGAATATACAATCAGCTCAAGGTACATTTCTTGTGCTCTAATGAATTTTAACATAAAGGTTTATTTCCAGATGGATCAGCACTGGAAGAGCTTTTTCAGCTGTCTTATAAATATAATTTAAATTAACACATTGATACCAAAACCTTGCCACCCAAGAAATTAAACATGGAATTTATTATGTAATTGTGCGGTTATTTTGTCTGTGGACATCAAGGTGGCTTTTGAAAAAAATTCAGCATTCCCTAGAGTTTCTTTATATTATGGCATTAGGTTGACATTAATTTGGGAACTGTTGTAATTTAAATAAAGTTTGAGATATGTCATTTCAGGTTGAAAAAAGCTTATTTAAACCTTCCATAGTTTTTAATTCACTCTTTGCACTTATTTGTGACTTGAAAAAACAGGTAAATGAAGCTGCCCTTTCTTGACACAGTCTTTGGATTAGAGACATCTATATGAATGCAATATGAGGAGTTTTTAAGGCATGTCATTTCTTAGCTGAAAATGTCCCATCGAGTTGCACTGTAAAAGTGAGTGCAGCACAGTTCATAGAGTATACATGAACATTTAATTAATGTTGCTGCCAGAGTAAATAGGCAGAAGTTTTGACATACTTCTGCAATCCGTATTTATAGAAGGTATAGAAACAAATTAGTGTGTTAGATGTTGTTTGGGTTTGCACCTGCCTCTGATGTAGCTGTGACTTTGACTATGTCATTTAAATTCTACATGCAGCTGTTGTCCCACTTGTAAAGAGAGATAATAATGGTTTCCTTCAGATGGAAGTTACAAAGTTGGTAGAGTATGCAAGCTCTTGAGGAGAAAGGATTTCTATACCAGAATTATGAAAGACAATGCAGGCATCGGCTGTGACACTTCTGTGGACTCTGTTCAGTGTCCTGTCCCACGTCAACCTTCTGTGTGAACTTGGCAGTAAGAGCCAAGTGACTTAAATAAAGCAGTAATAATTGTATTTACCCATCTCTGTCAAAAGTTTTTGTACCTGCATATGCAGTGAGCTCCACAGCTTGTAGCATCCATATATTTTTGTGATTGAAGAGTACGCCATTTCGCCTCTCTCCCCACCCCTTGTAACTGTGAATGAATAGTCATAATCAGAATTGCAGTCTTCACCTACAGATACATTTTGATTCATTTAATAGTCTTTAATTCAATTTCAGTCAAGTTTCATAGCAGCAAAAGATCTCAAGTCAGAGTCTATTCCATATATCTGTCCAAGATTGTGGGAGGTCATGGTGGCTTACATTTAAACCAGAACATCTGATTTTAGTCAACTGCCGTGTTAGTCAACTGCCTCTAATAACTGTACATCATTTCTGTATTGTTGTAAATGTATATTTGTCTGCAATACTACTGCATATGCTGTATTTCAGGAAAAGCAGAGATTTCTGACAGATGTCCTACATGAAGTGATGTTGCTGGATGGTTTGGCCAGTTCACATCCAGTATCCCAGGAGGTGCAGCAAGCCACAGACATTGACAGGGTGTTTGACTGGATTGCATATAAAAAGGTGAGACTAATTAAAGCTACCTATCTCTATATATTGATATGTCAGTAACTATTAGAAGATCATGTTCTATCTGTAAAACAAATAGCATTGCAAAAATACATGCACTACAGTGGCTACTAGTTGGGAAACTTTAATTTGTGTGGAATATATTTGGACTATACTACAGTGATTGTAGCCAATTACGTTCAACACGTCCAGTGTTATTAAATGTCATAAATAAACGTGGGAGGCTGTCAGAATTCACCAAGAAGATTTAGGGTTTTTTATTACTATTTATTTTGTGGCAGCATCTGAACTGTGTTAGATGCTTTAAAAAGCAGAAGGATGTGTAGTCTTTGTCCTATTGAAACTCTCTAGAAAACTTGTCAAGTGCTAAATTTAAATATAAAGTTTTTTCTGTTTTTTCTACGCATGAGAATTTTTCTGTCAGCTAGTGAAAACTCTGAAGTCATTGCTGAACAGTGAGAGTGGAGGAACTGTCTTTTGAGGTGATGAAGGAATATTAAATTCAGGCAATTTCAAGTTGTATTTCAATGAATAGGAGGCCTTTTGGCCAGCTTTGGGAATGAACAGCTTCTGTGCAGGAGTGAGAGGGCTGCACACTTTCACTTTCTCCATCATATGTCTGGGCTTGCTGTTACCGTATGGCCCAAAAGCTGGTGGTTTCCATCATACCACATGATTACTCTCTGCTCCATGGTATGATATGTAATACTGTGCCTTAATACCACGACCAAACGCGCTTGATGTGTGACGCGGAGGCTGCTGCCTGCAGCCTTCTGCTATGAATGCTGTACTGGAGCTCTCTGCCGACGATTCAGTTACAAGAGTCTTTTGACTATCACCTTTACATTTGATAATCTTTTCTTCTGCATCATTAGCTGCCGAACATCAGACTGTAACAAGACAGCAGCAGCACAGCAGTGACTTGCCTGCTGAGCCTCCAGTTTATCCAGTGCTCATTCTGGGCTAAAAAAGAGGTGTATCCTCTCTTAGAGTCATCAGTTATTCCCGGTCAGCAATAACTTCAACTTGATCCTCTTCCATGAAAAGATCTTATGCCTTTAAGGATGGGCAAATGAGAGTGTGTGTGTGTATGTCCATGTAATAGGTGTAGGATGTAATATGCAGACACAAAATACTTAGGAAAATACTTTAAAATGCTCGAGTTGCTCAAGAGCCCAAGTAACATTTTTAAAAATCCCTTAGCTGGCTTTCAAAACATTACTCTTGGTCAATTAAGCTATAATAGCCAGCAGCTTTTAGCATACTGAAGTATTCTCATTGTTTAAATGTTTCAATCCTATGTTTGCTGGTGATAGCTGAACCTCAGTAGGTTCAGAGGCTTATCTCACATCAGTATCTTAATATTTCAAGCTAATTATTTTTTTCTAATTAATATGATAATGGTAATATCACACAGTAGACTGTAATACTTGACACATCTTTTCATCTTATGAACACTTTGCAAACATTAAGTAATTTTCATTTACATGAAATGACAAATAGGACAGTAGGACACATCTGTATACTGTTAGCTATTTTATGCAGGCTAATAGTATCACTCTCTTTTCTGTGCAGATTAGAGTACAATCTCTATCTTTTATCTGTCCATTTAAAGGTTCCTTTTTCAGTGTAACAGTGGCCGTGCCCAGTGGATACGGCAGCATCTCCACTCAGCTTCTCTGATGGCTAACTCTCCTGAACCCTAGGTGACACTGAATGTGTTCATAGCAGGGCCTGATCTTGTAAATTTTGAACCCAGTTGCCAGATCTAGCAAACCACCTTGAGGAAAGGCAATGGAAGAATTTGCTTACACACCTTCATAGGTGAGGAGATTAAAAAAACCCACTCTTTCACCAATGAAGTCTTTGTTTTCCTGTCCGATAATTTGTCTGTCTGCCATTCTCTGTAACCATTCATCCTTTTGTTTAATATACAAGCAATATCTAATAGGAAGAAACTTTCTTCACTGACTTCCTAGCTGCTGTTTTCACTGTTTCTGTACCTTCCTCCAAACACCTGACACTGTTTGCTTCTGAGGATAAATTAGAGCAAATTTAACATGTTGTAGATCTTACATTGTTTCATTCCTATGTAAACTTGTATGCATGCATGCATGCATAGCTTGCGCTTAAAATGAAGTAGGGAAACAAGCCCATTTATTAGATAACTAGAACATTTGCCTATCTTTCTAGCTCTCTAGTGTCTGCCAATATAAATACTGTGATGAATGGTACATCAATAAAATCCAAACTGTAAAATTGTACTGAAGGCTTTTACCTGGTTAGGCATGTGCTCAGATATTTTCAGGTGCCTCAAAGCCCTCCTTACACAATGAGCCCTGCTGGAGGGATGTTCTGTCTGGTGTTTCTGGGATGGCTTTTTGGTTGTTTGCTGACCTACTTTTTAAATTCCCATCAAGTATTAAGTTCTTGGAATTTTTTTCCTGTTGACTCTAGTAAACTTTGAATCAGGAACATCAGTGAGGACTTTTCTACTGTCTTAAATAAAATGTTCCTTTTTAAACAGTCTAGCACTATGTGCAGTATTTTTTTTGGTATGTTTTTTTTTTTCATTCTCTTTTAATTTTCTTTTAAATGTCCAGCTTGTGGTCCGTGGGACTTTGGATTGTCCATGTGATCTCTTTTCTCTCTTCACAATTTTCTGCATGATATTGAAATGATGAAACTTTCTCCCATCTAATTTTTGTTCAGTGAAATGACAGTCATAGAATATCATTGTCATTTGATTGTCTTTACTGTCATCAATATGGCATAAATCAATTAGACACCATTGAAGTGCCCATCTCTGCTAGACACTCTGCTGTCATTTTGAAGATATGCCTCTTTCTATACACTTCAGAGAGGACCATTGAAACTGTGCTATTTAAATGCCTCGGAGCTGAATATATTTTTCGTTTCCACTTTCTTGTCCTCGATGATTGCACATGTTAAGAAATCTCATGACATAAACCCCTGAAGAATGGTATTCAGGTAATCCCACAAGCAGAGTGAAACAGGCACTACAGCCCTGCAGCACACAATGTTTTTCCACTTAAGCTGTTGAGGGTAATGTTTGCCTCTTTCAAAAGCATCATACTAGTCATTCTTCAGATAGGAGCGTGTCATCCTCCACTAGGGCCACAAATATGTAGAGAAAAATGAGAAGTCGTGATAGTTCATTAATAAACAGCACTGGTAGATGATTCAAGGCTCTCAAGTTACATCAGAGAGTGGATATGTCTTCCTAGTGCAGCTGGAAGTGAGATAGTGTCCTCCCACGATGACGGGAAAAGTGGTTATATCCCAAGTGCAGTAGGAAATATAGCCTGTTGAACACAAGAGTAGATCTGAGAATTGTTAAATCAAAGCAAAAAGCGTGACAGCCTTTCCACACCAGAAATAACTGACAGCAGGATTCATAGCCCTGGAGAACTGCATCAACAGAGGAGGAGAGAGTGCAGCAAGAATAACATGAGGAGCAACAATCAGCAAGGAAAAACCAGCTGTAATAAAATGGAGAAACAAGACAGCTGCATCTCAAAGGGAGCAGCCAGACCCAGAACAGTGTGAGGGAGAGAGATCCCAGACAGAACTGAAGGAGTCATAGCCCTAGATGAGCAGTCACAGCCAGATAAGAGAAGGGATGAAAGGGCACCAAGGACACTGTAGACACCCAGACAGTATCTGAAGTCGTTTCAGTCAGCCTGCTGCATGCTTTGAAGTGTACTGGTTGAAGATTCTGGCAGCAATCAGAGCGGGCAAAACCAGTATGATGGAGTGTAACTGTAAAAGTACCCCCAGTAGAATATGTCTTGGCAAGTGGCAAATGATAATCAAAACAAAGAAGAGGAGGACTGGAATAGGGAAGACTATTCCTTCTTTTTTCCTCCCTTTAAGCAAAATTAACGTCAGCAGTGAGATTAGTTACTGGCCCTGGCTACGTAGTGCAAACAATACATTATTTCCTAAACCTTTGTATGTATAATTTACTTTTCCTTCTTAACCCTTCTTAAAAAAAAAAAAAAAGCCACTTCTTAAAAAATGCTTTTTCCTGCTTTCTGTGTCTGAGTGATGGAAGGAAGTTGTATTTCTAATAGTAATAAAGGGGGACCATGCTCCCTGCCTCCCCACAAAGGCAATGATGTTCTGCATTAGGAAATCTGTTCAACTGAAGATTTGCACAAAGAGAAATGCTCAGCTTCCTTGTATGCTGCAGTAACAGTTCTGGCAAAGGAGAATTTAAGAAATTGAAAGCAGTGGCTTGCTCACCCTTTTGAGTGCAATTCTCTTTGAAACTTTACAGCATAACATGTTCTGCAAGAATGTGGAAGAATGGGAGGGCTAACTGCAGTCACTGGAAAGGCTCTCTAAAAACTTTGTGCTTTTTACTTCTGTTCCTCAGACACTGGGAAGGATATTGGCACTGTAATAACAAAATGAAACAAACAAACAAAAAAACCCAAACATCTATTCTCCCCAGTAAAATCAGGATTAGTATCAGAGTGAAATCCACTCAGATCATGAGTGCAATGAAATTGTGACAATGTGCATCTATGAAATGACCACAGAAAAGTGGTTACATTCGCAGTGAGAGAAATACTAGAGAAATAGTTATAAATAGTAAAATATAGTAAAATAGGTTTTATTTTTAAATATTCACATAACTAAATCAGGAACATAAGATGGTATCCAGCTAGTTAGAAGTCTTACAATACAAACCTGGTAGCTTTGCAACCCATTCCCTTACCACAGTGTAGAGGGAGAGCTTTTTTGTTCTCTCTGACTAATTTAGCCGTGATGTCGTCTGTGAATGACATTAAATCCTGGGTGCACATTTGTGTGATGCTGATTTCTGTTCCATGACTTGCGAGTGCAGCAGGTCAATGCGCAGATTACAGAAGGTATTTCCAGGAGCCATTTGTTTATAATGCATCGTAACAGAAGAAGTATCTTGTAATGAAAATAATTTCTTTCTGTTTAGATAAAAAGGTTGT